GGAAAGCTGTGGAGGAGGAAACGACGCATGGGAGGAGAAGAGGTGCAAGCAACAGGGTGACCGACCGTGGGGTCGCTGTCGACTAATAAAACGGGTGGGGGCTGACCCTATTGCGTGTGTCGTTTAGCCTTCGTACGACACTGATTGTGACCCTTACAAAAGTATTGTGTGTGTACTGTGCCCCCGTCTCTACCTCACGTTCCCCAATCCCCTCCCCCCTTTTGTGGGTCCCCCCCCCCCCCGCCATCAGGACTCACCCACTTCTCTTGCGTGCTTGCTTCGACCACTTTGGTTCTCACCTGCAAAGTCGTCTTTCTTCTTCTCAAAAACTTTTTGAATTCACAATAATTGATCCAGATAAAAAAGGATCGATTTATAGCTCCAAGATGTAATGGTGCGAGATTAAATCCCGCTATGAATGTGAGAATTTTATTAGTAAATAATTTATAAATTTTTTATAAGTGTTTTTTAAATCTTAAGGCAGCCGAAAAACAAAAAAACTTTTTGAATTTTTAATCTTGTACAGTGGAAGCTTCATATAAATGAACTTCATTCTTCCATTGAATGATGGAGAAATCTATGGTGAAGTATAAAATTAAACAATTTATCCACCTAAAGAATTTAGGGCTTATAATGGGTCTGTTTGTGAAAGCGTTTGAAAATACTTACAAATACGTTTTATATAAGTTGGGATAAAATTTTTCTCACGTGCTTATCTCGTAGTTCATAAATCATGATTGAAAAATTATTTATAAGTTATTCTAAACAAACCTAAGATATATGTGTATATGTATGTATATTTAAAAAAAGATAAACTTTTGGGATTTTGAAAACGCTTACCAACCACTTACAAACGAGATTAGATATATAACATTTCATTTATAATAGAGTTTTCACATCACTAAATTATAACATTGTCGGCTAAAAGTTAAGATTTTTAGATAAACTAGTTTGACTGGCTTATTAGACACGCATTATCTGATTAATTACATATGATTATAAATTTTAAAGATTTGATTAAATAAAAATTAAATTATAAAACCAAATCAATAATCATCACAAGTCTCATTATTCATAAATGCTAGTCAACGACAACTGATTTAGTATCCACAAATTAGTCTAAGCTGGAAATCTGAGTGTATGGTTTTATTTTCCAAGAAGTGGATTATTTTCTCATGAGCTGTGTATTTTTGTCTTGAAATAAGATTTCATTGGCAAACTTGTGAAGGGGATGGTTGATCCTACATATGAAAAGTGGCCAAATAAAAGAGAAGTGGTAAACGAAACAATCAATTAGGAGGCACACTATGAGCTAGCTAGCTAGGTATGCAGTAAAGTGGCCACTATGTATACGAGAGAGTGGCTCTTGAAACTTGGGAATATAATCTCAGGACCCATGAATGTTTGTTCCTCCCACCACACGCCCTTCAAAGTGGGTCTCTCCCCCACACTTGATCCGTGCAAGTATCGTTTTGCCCCAAACTCCCCATCCCATCACTTCCGTTTTCATTATTTCATCACTCATCACTTTGATCCATCTTACGATATTCTCTCATCTGATACGAAATACTATCTCCGGTCTTTAATATAAAATCCTGTTTAACTTTTATTTTGGTCCTAAATATAAGACCCCAATCCATTTTGTCTCTCATATTTATACATTTTTTTTTCCAAGTAGCTCTTCTAACAATGATAGTTCTAGTCAATACACTTGATGAGTAAGGATATTTTAAGAAAGATAACACCTATTTAGGACAAATAACTAACTCTACTTACTTCCTTAATCTCCTCAAAATAGTCAATTGGCTCTTATAATTAAGACCGGAGGTAGTATATGACTATTTTTGTAGTATAAATTACACTATAAAAAAAGTCTTATGTTTAGAATCGGAAGAGTACTACTATCTTATGAAATTTATATACTAGAATGTGAGTTTTAGGAGAAGTCATCATATCTGCATTCTAGAAGATACATTTAAGATTTAAAAAATAAGTTGTAAATATCAATAGTTTGAGTTATAAATTGATTGGAGTGGCCTATATATATATATGCTTAAACAGCCCACTTGGGATTGAGTAATCATATAATTATTTGAATCGGTATTTCCAATTATGTTTGCAGCAAAAATTTTATGACTTGTGTTATGAATATTGCCATATTTTATAAATGATGATAATGTTCCAAGATTCAGAGAGCTTAATTATGACTAATTCCAGGAATCATTCATTTGCGTTTTCCTCCCCTATTCATGAATCTAATCCCAGTTATGAAGTATCTAAGCATTCATGTATAATGCATTAACGAATCTTTGATTTTGGAAAGTGTATATTATTATTACCTATGCATTGGCATAGGTACAGTGTAATTTAACTTGTTGATGGCCTTATATCACAATAATATTAAGCACCTCCCTTAAGTGGCTCTTAGGTGGAAGGCTGAATCCTTCCCACATGTGATCCGCGGATATGAGTGAAAGATAATAAAACAACAATATATTTCACCTGTTAGAGAATAAGATCTCAAAAATTTTGAATATAAAGTGTAAGATTTGGATCACGTCGCGGGATTCACATGGCTAATCCTACTTAATGAGATAATATCTGTTGTTTTTGTGATATACTCTACTATTCCTTAATATAAGACTCATTTAACTAATTTGATTAGATTAAGGAAGTTAAGTGAGTTAGTTAATTATAAGAAAAGTGACACTTTTTTTACAACACCATAATCATATTTTTTAACACCCCATCTCCCTCTTTTACTTGATTATGGTTGAGAAAGTATTTATAGGAATAATTTAAAAAAAATTAATAAATATAAAAAATATGTCTCATACTTAGGATCAAAACCAATTTAATAATTAAATTTTATATTAAGGACCGGAGGAGTGCATGCATAACAAATCACGGCGCTAAGGCTGGACAAGGTTTATCTTTATGATGAATGATATTCAACCATTTTTCATTTGAGGGGAACAAAATGTGATATTCTTTTTACTACTCCACCTTTTATTGTCTTTAATATACTCATTCAGTTCTTAATATAAGACATAATTAGAAAGTTGATATTGGTCCTAAATATATAACATATTTCTCATATTTACCACTTCTTTCCTAAATTAGCCTATTAAATAATTAAGCACCACAATAATACTTATTACTCATTAATAATACACCTCTATATTTTATAAAGTGAGTGAGTACTTATTACTCATTAATTCCACACAAACATCAATTCTGCTATTTTATATTTTTTAATAAAATAATTTAAAACATTTTTTGAAATGTCAGTTTTTAAAGAAATTTTAACTGAGGGCATTTTAAGAAACTTATGCTATATTTATGATTATTACATAACATAACTAACTTTTTCAATTTAATTAAAATAGTTAAATAGGTCTTATATTAAGGACCAGAGGAGCAAGTATTATTTAACTAATTTGATCAGATTAAAAGAGTTAGGTAGGTTAATTAATTATAAAAAATACAATACGCTTTTCCTAGAATATCGTAATCATCTTTTTTAACATCTTCTCTTTTCCTCCTATTTGATATCAATAAAAATAATTTAAAAAATTAACAAATATAAAAAATATATGTTATATTTAGGGGGTGTTTGGGTATCATCCCAAAACACGGTTTGGGGACCCAAACCATGTTTTGGACAAAAAGTTTCTCAAACACCTATAAAAAATTAGAAACCATGGTTTGGGTTCAAAACCATAGTTTGGAGAGAAGCATTTTGAATTTGCTTTGGAAAAAATTTGGAGAGTGCTGAATGGTTGCCAATGGATATGATGATATGTATTTCTTGACCAGACACATATACCCCTCATCTTCCAACTTCAGTCCTTCACTGTTTAGAGGTAGTGTTTTTTTTTTTTTTAAATTAGAAAAGAGGTAGTAACGTTCAGAGGTAGGATTTGTTACATTCTCTTTCACCTTCAGTACTTTTCTTTTTATTCATTTTTTTCTATTTACAAAAAATTATTTATCTTTTCAAAAACATTTTTAATCTTATATTTTATAAATGTTTTTACACACATAGTAACAATAATTAATTATATTAAGGATGAGAGGTAATATGTTGTTATAAAAACTAGTTATGAAAAAATGTTATAGAATTTCATGTTTAAAATCTTTAAAGCAAATTAATATTTTTCTGTTAGAAAAAAATTATTTTTCTATAAACATATTTAATCTTATAATTTATAAATCTATATACACACATATTAATTAATTATTAATTATATTATCTTATATATTATTAATTATGTTAGTAAAAATTATTTTATTAACAATTTTATTTTTTCAAATTAAAATATATTGTAAAATCTATCTTTTATATAATTATCATATTAACTTATGTCCTTTTTTAGTAATTTATACATATAAAAAGTCATTCTGATAACAACTATCCAAATATTTTCACTTTATCAGAATTATTTCTTCACAAAATCTATTCTTCTTAAAATCTATTTTCTAAACTATAGTTTAGTTTTATCCAAATACTCCGTTGAACATCAACTCAATAACTCACTGTCTCAGGGAGGAAGGAGAAAAAGGCAATGGATTGTTGGAGGGTAGCCTCGTAAAACAACTGAATCTTGGGGCTGATTTAGAAGTCTCCACCTTGATCCTTGATTGTCTGTAATCCTGGGCCCAAAAAGAAATATTTTTAAGCAGGAAATGCAAATTGCAAAACCTTCTCAAAAGAAAAAAAACTGACACTCGTACACGCTCTCTTTCTCCCTCTTAAAAAGGACAGCGAAAAATAATGGCGGTTGTGTTTCGATTGATTGAAGGAGAGAGAAACTCTCTCAGTTTGTGAGATTGAGAGAGAATATGTGTGTTAAGTGAGTATGCGAGAGGAGGCGTGAAGCAATACTGGCGTCACCACACCACCAGTGCCACTAGCTCCAATTGCCATTTTTTCCATTACTGCAAAATGAACCATAACACCCAGCCCAACGCGGGGCTTTTCACACTCGAAGGTTGGATAGCTACTATTGTTTCCATTTCTTCTCCATGAAAGTATTGACGTACCCACTTCTGTGCCAGCGATCCTTTCTTGTAACTCTGCTTCAGTTTAGCACGAGAGTGAGAGTGTGAGCTGATTTCTTGTCCATTTGGCCTTTATGCTTTTCTGGGTTAGTTTTTTTGGTCATTGAGATCCATTCTGCTTCGGGATTCATTCTTGTTGGAATGAGATCTATTGGCTCCTGAAGTTTGTTGGGTTGTCTAGTTTGTGAGTGTTTTTGGGTTTGCGGGAAAGTTGTTTCGTCTTTGAGATTGTTGCCAAATTAGGCAGTGAAAAACCAGGTAGCAGAACTCTCAGGGGCGGGAGTCTGGAGGTTTGAGTTGAAGATTGTGGTGTGAAGCCTAAAGCTGAGGACTGGCGGGTTTGAGGAGGATAAGGGGAACGAATGAGGCGTAAACCAATCGCTTTTTGCTGTGAAACTGGTTTTGGCTAATGATTGAAGGACGGGAGTCTTCTGGGTTTGTGAGCATTCTCGTTGATGGTCTGTCTAGTTAGCTCAAACTCAGAGAATATAGGCGTTATTTAGGTTGACTTAGATGGGTTTTGTTTGTTAGGTGGGTAAAGGTAAGAAGAATGATATTTTGCGGTGGATGCTTTGTGGTGTGGGAGTCATTTTGGGAGCATTTTATTTCTTGATTGTTCTTCCCAGAGCTTGTATTTGAATATTTGGTTGTGACTGTGAGCTGAATTACACAAGTTCTTAAATCGTTGAAATGAGACTCTCTTCAGCTGGTTTTACTCCTTCACCCCAGGAAGGTATGTAAACACTTGCCTGCAGATTGTCCCTCCTTCATCACCACCTCTCTCTTTTCTCCATTTTATCTGTTACTAACTATGTCATTCTCTCTCCCCTCTCTTATGACCATTTTGATTTGGAAGACTCCGATAGGATGATTGTGAATGCAATTATGTCACTAAATTCTGTGTGTTAAACATGATAATCAATACCTGCTCCTTGAGAACTTTTTTTTCCTCCGTTTTTTTCGGGGGCGGGGGTTTGGAAGTCTGAACTGAAAGATAAACAAGTTATTTTCTTTGTAGTTTCGCTGCAATTGCCTAATATCCTCCTCTTCTGTGTGTTTATGCCTGTTCTTTCAATTCAAGATCTTGGTTTTGCCTTCCACATGATCGAATTTAACATCAATTCGTCCTATGAGACACTTGAACGCTGTAGTTACGGATTTTCATTTCCTTATGATATACAAATGACTTTTCCAGGAGAAAAGCGAGTTCTAGATTCTGAGCTTTGGCATGCTTGTGCTGGCCCTCTTGTTTCCTTGCCGGCTGTTGGAAGCCGCGTCGTGTACTTTCCCCAGGGTCACAGTGAACAGGTTAGTGAAAACGTAACGTTAGATTTTGGCTTCTAAAGGAAAGCCCCTCCCTCTTGACTCTAACTGGGGACTAATATAATTAACTCCGATTGTTTCTTGCTCTTAATCTCTGGTTTCTCTGCATCTGCTAAGATTAAGGAGGGGGCTGCGGTATAACTTCTAATCAGCCTAACAATGATTTATGCCCTTACAAAGCACAATTCCTTCCTCCTGAACATCTGAACGTTAATATTTCCTTTCCGAAGGATCTTTCTGACATTTGCTCCACAAACTGCTTGTCTTCATCCTTACCCTGTTGTTTTCTGCTTAGGTTGCTGCATCGACTAACAAGGAGGTGGACGTCCATTTTCCCAACTACCCAAGCTTACCTCCCCAACTTATTTGTCAACTTCATAATGTGACTATGCATGTACGGCCTTTTAAAATTTGGTTTGCTACTGTTTCAAATTCCTTGTATGCTGATTTACACTCTGTTTTATTTAATCAACGTTTTGTGTTTGTTTATTCTTGATTCAGGCTGACGTAGAGACGGATGAAGTATACGCCCAGATGACCTTGCAACCTCTGAATCCTGTATGATACCTGTGTAACTTAGTAGCGTGTTTTGCAGTTTGTGTAGAATCTGTTCTGTTCGTCCTTTGACTTTGATTATGTTTGCAGCAAGAACAAAAGGAGGCATACCTTCCAGCAGAGTTGGGCACTTCCAGTAAACAGCCAACGAACTACTTCTGCAAAACTTTGACTGCTAGTGACACGAGCACTCATGGGGGATTCTCTGTTCCTCGTAGGGCTGCTGAGAAAGTGTTTCCTCCATTGGTGAGCCTCTATTATAGATCTATTCATTAAAAGCAATAACTTCTACGGCAAAAACTTGTGAACTTATAGCTTTGTAAATTTAACATGCAGGATTTCTCTCAGCAGCCTCCTGCTCAAGAATTAATTGCACGGGACTTGCATGGTAATGAATGGAAATTCAGACATATCTTCCGGGGTAAGTTCTTTAGGTGGTAAAATGTATAATGGATGTCTTCTCAAATGCAAGTTTCAATATTTTTGTTAAAGACATGAGTGAAATATCTGGCTTACAACGTGGGACTCTGTCTTCTTTCTGCAGGCCAGCCTAAACGACATCTACTTACAACAGGATGGAGTGTCTTTGTAAGTGCTAAGAGGCTTATTGCTGGTGATTCTGTGCTGTTTATTTGGTAAGTATTTTTTTCCCTTTTATTTTCATCAGTATCTAGAGTGGCACAAAGCTTGTATCTGGGTTGCACGCATTGTAGTATTCTTCTTCCATTGTTTTTCTCTCTCTCGTTTTTTTTCTTCTTAGGATCAGATTTGGAATATATACTTAGGCACTTATTTGCTGATTGACTCCTCTTCTGGACCAAAGTCGCATCTGATTTGTTATCAAGCCATTCAGAGGAATATAAGGAAAATCTACTTTTGGATGAGCATCACACGTGTAAATGTTTATATGAGGTTATTTATGAATGAGAAGTCCTTTATGGGATTACTATTGGTTGTTTCTCCCCTCTCCTATCTACCAGCTTTTGGTTTTTGGGTGTATTAGTGATGTATATAGCATTATCAATTTAGCTGATACTTGCATGATACTATCGAGGTAAATGGAGTGGATATTTATTTATTTATTTTTACAGGAATGATAAGAATCAATTGCTTCTTGGTATTCGACGTGCCAATCGACCACAAACAGTGATGCCATCATCAGTGCTCTCAAGTGATAGCATGCACTTGGGGCTTCTTGCTGCTGCAGCACACGCAGCTGCAACCAACAGTCGTTTCACCATATTCTACAACCCCCGGTACAGTTGGTACTAATTTGTCAATCTTTGAAAATACCACATACTACCTCCTATTGATAATTTATTTTTCTTTTGAAATCTCAGTGCTAGCCCATCAGAATTTGTCATACCCCTAGCAAAGTATGTTAAAGCTGTGTATCATACCCGAGTTTCAGTTGGCATGCGCTTCCGGATGTTGTTTGAAACGGAGGAATCAAGTGTCCGGCGGTAGGTTTCATATAATGTTTTTGAATTTCTTAGATATTTTCATGATTGATGTGCACTTCTGAATTGTTAGTAAACTTAAGGAAGTTAGGTTGTCTTTTTCATACCTCTGCATGCCTTAGCTTAATCAACTGATTTAGAATCCTTTTGATTATAATTATAACCAGCAGTAGTCTTTATCTCTATGATGGCATTAGTGTTGCCCTGGGAGAATTGACGAATAGATACATTTTATCATTGATTGGATAAATGTCTCCAGTGACCTCAGCGTTTGTGATACTAGCTTCTGAATTTATTGCATTTCGTCCTTGATCAGATACATGGGCACAATCACTGGTATTAGCGACCTGGATCCTGTGAGGTGGCCGAATTCACATTGGCGATCAGTTAAGGTCTGTAAGGAAACACTAATATTCATTGCTTTGATGTCGTGTAATTGTTTTGAATGCTGATCCAGATGTTGGATTTCTAATATGTTGCCTGGTGAATGGTTTTTTAACTGAGGAAGATCTTACAAGCGTGGATTTGATTCAAATTGCAGGTTGGCTGGGATGAGTCCACAGCAGGAGATAGGCAACCTAGAGTCTCCTTGTGGGAAATCGAGCCATTAACAACATTTCCAATGTATCCTTCCCCATTCCCTCTTAGGCTTAAACGACCATGGCCTACTGGACTGCCTTCTTTCCATGGTATGCTTCTTGCTAATTTCATTGATGAAAATCTCCCAAGTGCACTTGACTACTTAAACGAGTGACAACTCTAAAAGATGATTACATTTTCAAATCCTTAACTAAGCATCCTTGGGAGCTAAAGTTTTCACTCTGTATGAAATTTGTGCAGGTATGAAGGATGATGATTTGGGTATGAATACTCCACTGTTTTTGGATAGAGGGCTTCAGTCTCTTAATTTTCCTGGAATTGGGGTTACTCCTTGGATGCAACCAAGGTTTGATCCCTCCTTTCTGAATTTGCAATCTGACATGTACCAAGCCATGACTGCTGCTGCACTTCAAGATATAAGGACTGTAGATCCTTCCAAACAGCATGCAACATCCCTGTTTCAATTTCAGCAACCACAGAACTTCCCCAACAGGACTGCTGCTTTAGTGCAGGCTCAGATGATGCAGCAGTCTCAACCTCAGCAAGCTCTTCAAAACAATCAAGAGAATATGCAACCATCTGAATCTCAGGCTCTAAGTCAGACTCATCTTCAGCATCAAAACTCTTTCATTAATCATCATCATCAGCAGCAGCAGCAGCACCACCACCACCAGCAGCCACAACAGCAACATCAACAGCAAAGTTTTTCTGATCACTCCAATACTGTCTCTACAATGTCTCAATTTGTTTCAGCACCTCAACCTCAGTCGCCACCGGCTCAAGCTATTCCTTCATTGTGCCATCAGCAAAGTTTTTCTGATTCAAATGGGAACAATGTAACTGCTGCTATGGTTTCTCCCCTCCATAGTATTTTGAGTTCTTTTCCCCAGGAAGAAACTTCCCACCTTCTCAATATTCCTAGGACTAGTTCTTGGATTCCTGTTCAACCTTCTACTGCTACTGCTACTTGGCCTTCCAAGCGTGTTGCTGTGGACCCTCTTCTTTCTTCCGGAGCTTCTCAATGTGATCTGCCTCACATGGATCAGATAGGGCAGCGCCAGAATACACTGTCTCAAAGTGTGGTTACCTTGCCACCCTTTCCTGGAAGGGATTGCTCGATTGACCAAGAAGGGAGTACTGATCCACAAAACCATCTTTTATTTGGTGTTAATATAGAGCCCTCATCTCTTTTAGTGCACAATGGGATGTCAAGCCTTAAGGGGGCTCGCAGCAACATTGATTCCACAACCATACCATTTCAGTCTTCTAATTATCTGAATACTGCAAACCCTGAATCTGCGTTGAATCCTGCAATGTCACAAACCATTTGTGAATCAGGATTCTTGCAGGCCTCAGAAAATATGGGCCAAGGAAATTCTCCAAAAACCTTTGTAAAGGTGATTTTTCCATCTGGAATTTTGATGTCAAATTCTCGAGTGAGGCCTTCACTCACCCCCCACGCTGTTGTAATGCATAAGAGAGTTTAATTCCAGCATTTTTATTTGGTATGCCTTTTACAGGTTTACAAGGCAGGGTCCTTTGGAAGGTCGCTGGATATCACTAAATTCAGCGGCTACCATGAGCTGCGTCGCGAGCTTGCTCGCATGTTTGGCCTTGAAGGCGAGTTGGAGGACCCTGTAAGATCAGGCTGGCAGCTTGTATTTGTTGACAGAGAGAATGATGTTCTTCTCCTTGGTGATGGCCCTTGGCCGTAAGTATCCATCTGCCCATGCCCTTTTAAACAAAACTTAGTGTAATTCAAGCTATCTGTTTCCTTTCTTTTTTGGTATGAAGATAAAAGATCTCATGCCATTGTTTTTTGGCCCTCTATATTGTGGAGATGATTATTTGTGCTTACAAGCATTCTATTTTTCCTTTTTTTTTTTTAATTAAATTCGACCATCACGCATCTTTTTCTGTACTTTACTTCCCTCTTGCTGTTGCTCTATTCTTAAAATATTCTATTAAAACTTGTTCTTTTAAATCACAGGGAGTTTGTCAACAGTGTATGGTGTATCAAGATACTTTCCCCACAAGAAGTGCAACAAACGGACAATAATCGTCTTGAGCTTTTGAATTCAGTTCCGATTCAAAGACTTTCCAATGGAACATGTGAAGACTTTGTGAGCCGACAGGACCCAAGAAGTTTAAGCTCTGGGATCACAACCGTGGGGTCTCTAGACTACTAAGCTGTGTGACAGTCTAGATTCTGCATTTTCATCTGTCTCCTGTAATATTATTAGCTTTGCTTCCTTACCTTTCGCTAATGGCGGGAAGTTCTGCTTAGTTGTAGTTTATAATCTTTGCTCACAAGCCTTTCGTTTTTGTTTCTCCCTGCTAGGACCATTCATAAGGATATATAAGTACTGTAATTATATTACATTTCACCCTTGTGCTGAAGTACATGCAATATATGACTTGTTAGGAAATTGCTTGTGTAGATACCTACAGTTTTATGGAAACTTTCCGACACTTTTGGGCTTTTGGCAAATCTTTAAAAAGTCATGAGTAGGCGAAGTGTTCTACAGGACAGTGAATGTGACGTTAGCCGGATTTCTTGACCATTAATTATTCCTAACCAAGCATTTTGGTATGGAGTTGGATAATGAAAAGATTCACTGTCTATTTTACTATTTCGTGATACAGAAACTGCACGAGATTATTTTTGACATGTCACGTTAACTTGTTCTCTTGGGATTCATGTATCCTTAGTCTTTTAGTTCAAAGAAGTTTTGGTTTGCTGCCTCTAAAGTCACTGGGAGAATGACAGTTAGGTCAAAGAATGTCAATTTAATTACAGTTAGGGCTTCAACAACGTTTTTTTGGTTTGCAAAATTCAGACTGTTACAAATTTAAGAGTTTTAATTGCAAATCAGGCATTTGTATGTTTAAAATATAAGCCTCAGTTCACAACTACTTGAATCGATGCGGGCAAATCATTTTTGAGGAAAACTGATGTTTTAAAACCTCATTCTTGAGAGTCAAAATAGATGTTATAACTCTTAGAATGTTTACAAAAATATTTATACATTATGAGTTTTCATATCACTATTGTAGATTGCATAACCTTTAGTTTAATATAAGCAGGAGGATGCAATGGGCATGTGATTTGCTTGTCTGAGGTATCCAAGTATGGAGAGAGGGTCATATTTGCTTTGTTTTGTTCTTTGATTTTAGCCATGCATCCTTTCTTCAAGATAAAAAGGCTGTGCATCCATCAAAATGGCATCCATCAAGATCTCTGACATTTACCAACTAAATATCCCATGCATGTTTATAATGAGAATAAGGAGGTGTTTGGATGGAAGTCAAACTATGATTTTAAATGTGCTTTTACGGTATATGAAGTAAATATATGAAGAAGTTTACCTCGTTTTATAAAAAAGTGCTTTTCAAAAGCATTTTTTCATCTTGCCAAACACTCTCTAAAAAGAAATTGAAAACAAATGAAGATAGAATTTTATACAACCTCCTTCTCATTATTAATACAAGGGTTAAATAACTAATTTATGAATATTAATAAAATTAGTTTAGTTATTTATAATAAACTAGTGTGTTTTTTCTTAAAATATTGTGGTTAATCATATGTATTTAAATGGAAATCCTTTAACATCTGTTATTATCATGGAAACTATTTTGGAAGAAAAATAAAGTGGATTGAGACTTTATATTTAGAATCAAAACTAAATTCTTAACTACTTCTTATATTTAAAAGCTGAGGTAGTATTATTGATTTGTGAGGATGTTAGTTATTATTAATGGCTTTATTTATGTTTAGAAAGAAGCTAAGAATAATGAAGACCTCTAATCTATGCCGACATTTTACTAACATATTTTGAAGTTTGATATTTTTCTAAAGTCATGAAATATCAAGAGTAATTGCTAACATATGGAGATGTTGAAAAGGGAGGAAAAGTAATAAAGGGCATTACATGCATATCCCTGTCATCCACTCAAACATGTATGTGCCTTTTGACTATTTGACGTGTGAGAGAGGAGAATGTTTAGGTACTAACTCCGGTACTTAATATAAGATCTTATTTGATTTTTATTTTGGTCCTAAAATATAATACCCTAATCCACTTTGTCTCTCATATTTATGTATTTTTTTTCCCAATAAAGTCCTTCTAATAATAGTAATTCTAGCCAATACACTTGACTAGCAATAATATTTTAGGAAAAATAATACCTATTCATTACAAATAACTAACTTATCTTATTTTCTTAATCTCCTCAAATTAATCAATTAGCTCTTATAATTAAAACCGGATGTAGTATTATTTATGAGACACAATTGTGATATCGATTTTCAAAATGTTGTTTTAAAATTAATTATGTATGTGTCGTTTAATGCATATCATAATGTAATTATTTTTTCCATTCACAAAATCATTGAGAATTTTCACTTGACTCTGTTATTATTAGTTTATTTGATCTTCAATAATTTAACTTTACATAAAACAGAATTATCAAATTATGAGTTATGAAATCTAATAACCACACAAACACAAATGAATTATCCAATTTCCCTTGCAAACGAATAGAAAAGGAATCCAGGTTGGGCAATTATTTTGATGAATTGTAATTTTCAATGCCTGCAAAAGGTCCAGTTTTATGAATAACACATATAGGACAATTTTGTCGGCATAATGGACAAATTACAATCAGTTCATTCCCATAATGTACGCTGTCATGATACAAATTTTCAACATATGAAAATACTTTTTTTCCCCATAATTCACATATTTTTTTGCCTCACATTATTTAACTTACATGTACATTATATGTTTATATGGAGAATTCAAACTCAATCTCATATTAAAAAAAGTTTCGATTCTAAATATAAGACTCATTTTGAGTTTTACATTTAAGATTGAAGGAATATTTGGTATAATTAGATTATAAGATATGAGATTCCAATTTCACATACATATTGACTTGATTATAATACAGTTTTTTAACAATCTGGTTCTTAAGCTTTTCATAAATTTTTTTTTTTTATGTAAAATTTTGTAAGGAGACGTTCACACGCAAATACATTCATTGCAAGTCTGCCGTGCCATATTTTTCTTGAAAAACTAGATATAAGAGAGAGGGAGAATAAAGTAAGAAAATAAATTCTGGACACAAACATTTTTGTATGTTAATTATTTTATTAAATATATAATTTCATTATCACAAAGAAAATAAACTTTTTTTTGGGGGGAGGTTGGCATTTAATATGGACCGGTGGGGGAAAGTTGGATTGAGGGCAGAGAACGGACACATGGGGGTGGGGCTACCCTTACCCTATCAGTTGGAGGCACTCTTTCTTTCTATCTTTGTGGTTCTGCAATAATGACGAGGTAGGGCACCCCCTCCCATATCCCTCCCCTTTTCTTCATTTTCCATAGGTGGGGACTTCCCTACTCTGCACCTCTCTTTCTCCTGACAAATATCTAACTTATTCAACATGCATGGAAAAAATGACATATAACTGGAGAGGAAAAAAAGTGATAAACGAAACATTTTTTTTCAGAGAACTTCGATCAAAATTAGATACAAACACTGAATCACATTCAACTATTTTCGGGCCTAATTAAGAATAATCCTTTTTTTTTTCCATATTTACATGAACTCTGAAATACTGTGATTTTAAGGGCTAAAACTTTTTTCACTAAGACTAACATGTGTTGTTTTTTTACCAATTTTTTTTATGAACTAGCTTTCGGTGTGTGAGGGTGAGAGAGGGAGGGGGAGGAATTTGCATGTATGAGCTACGCAATGTGACCAAAAACTGCTATCAAGAGTTAATCCAGTTGATAAGAAGTCGACTCTTAACCTATAAAGTCATGAGTTTGAGTCCCGCTACTAATATGAAACCTTGTTGATAGGTAATCTGTAAACACTATTGTAAGTATTTTCTGAGCCTAGAGATATGTCTTGACCCAAGTGAGCCCTAGGAATTAACTCACCTAAACTCTTATATAGGAAAAAAATGTGTTCTCTCAAACATCATTAGTAAAATATTTTTCTGTCATCAATTTTTTTTTTTTTTTACGCTAGTTTCAATTTTGTCTGAGTTTTATCGCCCAACTGACACTAAATGCTTTCTTTAAGACTTTCTTGAGTGTGAGATTGCAATTCAAAGCCCTCATAGAAGATAAAATGAATGTGAGTTGTGAAAAAAATGCGGTAATTCCATATGTTGATTGTTAATCTCTTGTGATTAAAACAAACAAGTCACTAAAATATGCATAAAACAGAACTGACCTGGGGAGGGCCATTGGGTCAGATTTGGTCATTTGTGATCTCTGGTTTTTTTTGGGCAATTGAGCCCAAGTCCAATCCATTAACTGAGCCCAACGGGTCACTGAAATGTCAATGCGCGGCCTAGAAGAGTCCAGCAAATTGCATTGGCCAATAGGGTATTTAGGTATGGGCTATTGGCCATTTCGGGACTAGTTTGGGCTGCAGGGTTAAATTGGGGAATTCATATATTTGAGATTAGGGTTTATGAGTTGCCCCGATTGGCTTCAGTATTTCAGACTGCGCGGTGACGCTGAGAGTCTCTGGTCGTAAGTTGTAGAAGCAGGCGTCGAGGCTCATCACCTCACCATGGTACGCTATTGCTTTCCCCCATTATAGTTATTGATCTTTTATGTCAAATTCCATTATCCTCTTTGTGGTAGAGCATGGATAAAAACAGTGAGAAGGGATTCAAATTTTCTTTTCGAGGAAATGTTTGTATTCTGGACAATCTATAGCATGTGTAATTTTGTCTTTGGGATTTGATTGCTGTGCCAAACATTTTTGGGGTGGGATTTTTCTACGTGAACAGAGATGATTGGATCTCGTATTCTTTGGTTCATTGTTAGAAAGAAAAAGTTGAGTGAAGCGAAGTTTTATGAACAGGCTTATGGAATTGCAGAGCATATTATAACCGATTTGTAAATATAGATGAACACGAGAAAATTTTCAATCTCTTGACAGACTGCATATTTGTATATGAGGAACAAGGTTCATGAACTTATTGTTGTTCTTTGCTCAAATGTCCGATTGGGGAGCAGTGGGAATGTAGGTTGTGGACTATGCTTAGCATTTGAAAATTGAATATGGAGCTGGTTAGTACCTACAGTACATAAAATCTTTGCTGATTATTCAAGCTACATGGACCTTACTGCCATGCTTCTCTTCTTTTACCTGCTCTTTCTTTCTGCTGGAAGTTCATGATAATTTTGTCAATTGAATTAATAGCTTCAACTGAGACAAAGATCATTTCTCTTACGTCGTATTTGGTTGTGGGGAAGGGGTGGGAAGGGGAGTATTTTGCTCGCCATGATACCAATGTCTAAATCCCAAGTTTTTGGATTCCTTTGTATTGTATTATATACTCATTTCTCTTAATATGGTCCACGCAGCCTAAGCAAATCCACGAGATTAAGGATTTCCTTCTTACTGCAAGAAGGAAGGATGCAAGGTCAGTGAAAATTATGAGGAGCAGGGATGTTGTGAAGTTCAAGGTCCGGTGCTCCAAGTACTTGTACACACTTTGTGTGTTTGACCCAGAGAAGGCTGATAAGTTGAAGCAATCACTTCCTCCAGGTTAGTAAAAGCAAACGAACCCTGTCCTTTATTTGATGCATGCAAATTTGATTCTGTGTAGCTATATAGTGATACTAACGAGTTAGACTGTAGATATACTCTCTTTACACCTATCTTCTCCTTTTCTTTCTATTTCTTTGGCTTGTGTGCTATGCGTAAAACATGACATTTTAAGTATAATTATTCATGCTTCTTAGGGTGCTATATCATTTTGGCCACTCTAACTAGTATTCGTCTTTATGTTTGCAGGTTTGAGCGTCCAAGATCTGTGAAAGAACTGCAGAAGTTTTTTATGTATTTTATTTGGTGCCGGATTCTTAGTTATTCTATAGTGCTTTGCACCGGGAGATGTGTTATTTTGGCATGTTTGGAGAATTTTATTGTTGCTTGTCGTATTAAGGAACATGATTTTTTGGTCTCTTATTTTGAAAAGGAATGATATTTAGTTTTAGCTAGATATGTAGTCTTCCCTGTTTCACCTTTCACGTTTGCGTTCCTCCCGTAGTTAAAACTCAAAGCTAAAGAACATTTTTAAACAAGGGTAGAATTCGAGAAGACGACTCGGTTTGCAGCTCAACGTTAATCCTAGCCATTCTTCGTTTTGTTAAATGTTGAGATGGTATGTGTGTGTATGTATATCTCATGTTTCCTTTAATTTTATAGCCATTTTTAATTTTTAATCATGGCATCATGTAATTATATAATTATATTATAAAATTTTAAATTTAGTTAAAATTTAATACACAGATTTTCACCGCTTCTTAATTTTGTCATTACAAATCTAGTTAATTTCATAAAATAGGAATATTTGGATAATGTCCTAGAATATGAGCAAATGCATGTAGAATTTATTTAAAAGTATTTCACCAAAAAAAATTTTATATTAAAAATAGAGAAATTAATCGTCTTTTTTTGATTTTTAACTCACTGATAATTCAGTTTTTAAATTTGACTCACTTATAATTCATTTCATAATCATCTTGTGTGGCGTAAGACTCGCTGCCGCCTAAGCTCGAAGCTCCACCATCGTTTGACGCCTGTGGACTCCTCCCCCAAACTCCTCACTTTTTTCCCTTTCCGACCCAGAGCGTCTCCTCTCCATTCTCCTTCCTGGGCTGCATATTATCGAACTGGCTGGATCAAGGTTTATCTGGCTCCAAGTATGCTTTCTGACTTGAATACTCTTGTTCTGTCGGGTTACATTTAATTCCGGACAGTTGATGTTAGAAACAAAAGGCATTAAATGATCTCTTACACATAACAATCATTTTCATATATATACCATATGCCGTTAATTACAGAAGATGATCAAGGTGCTTGCTGCTATCGAATATGTATAGTAACATTTCAGACATTACAGTAGATTGGAAACCTTGTCTTGTGGGTGTGCCGGTGTGAAACCTCCCCATATGGAGGTAGTCTCTGGATCTTACAGGATAATCTAATGAGGTCACAGAAAGGGTCAAGTGAGCTGATTTTTAATTTCGTTAGTTTTCCATTCGATTCTCACCCAGCAAGCAAACCCACTTGATGAAATTGGCACACTTGAATCACAAAGACCCAGCGTCAACTCCCCACTGATCCTCTTGCACGAACGACATGGAGTCTACCATCATTGGCCCCCATCGAGTCGAGCCAAGGCCATTCTGGGTGACCCACGATGGCCTCTTATTCCCTCTCTGCGATTTCTTTTTAGTTTCCCCGCTTCGTCCGTCTCCAGTCCTCCGTTCTTTTCGTTAAATTTTATAAAAAAATCTGCGTGGAGCCTAGGTGGAAGCAAGTGTTATGCCACATAGGATGCTTTAAAACTGACAGGGATAATATTAACATAAAACTTATTTTAACTAATTCGCTTAGATTAAAGAAATTAGTTAGGTTAATTATAAGAAATATGACTTGTTTTTCTTAAAATACTATAATCATCTTACTTAATATTACTTGATTATGATTGAGAGAGTATCTATAGGGATAATTTAAGAAAAATTGATAAATATAAAAATATGTCTTATATTTAGGATCAAATCAACTCAATAATCAGGTCCTATATTTAAAACTCAAGAAAGTAATATAAAAGATGAAAAAAATAAGAAACTGAGTCGCAAGAGTTAAAGATAAGGAATTGAGTTGAATGACTAAAAAGATTAACTTTACCATCTCTGTTTCATTTCAACTAGTCAGACAACCCCAACTACATGTATCATGTTTTCGATGCCATTAAGTACAAGTTTGACTATCATGATTGAAATTGCGAAAGTCATGTTCTAGATAGTTTTCACTCTTCAATATGAAGCCAAGTTATTGCATCCTCTGCAGTGGATGTGATGGATTCATAGGACCTTTTTCCGACTTTAATTAGTTTTGTGTTTTCATGGTCATTTGTCTCCTAGAATGCTCGCCTGTTTTGCAAGTGTCTCGGATATACAAGGACATGAACAAGAGATATAAACTGCCTAGAAATTTCTGTAGACGGAATGTCAAACTGAACATAAAGAAATGTTGCACACCTTATGATCACAAGCAGATCTTTACAAATTTTTGTGACCTGTAAACATAATCGCTCTCTCTTCCCTCTCACTTCATGCACCAACTTCCCCCTATTATAACACAAAATGCCGTGTGTAAAAATAATGACCGTTATCTACTGCATCAAAAGAGAAGCAACATTTTTCTTCTAGTTGCAGTGCCTTGCTTGTATCACAGCCAACCACAGCAAGTGTAATTTGAAGATGGCATTCGTCCTGTTTGACGTATATATTCTGCTTGAGCTGCAGTTCTGTCAGCTTCTCGATTTTTTCTCGCTTCAGCGGCCGCACGCTTTTCTTCCGATCTTTGCCTTGCCAAAGCAACCTTCTTCACTATCTTTGCATGAGCTTGGGCTCTCATTTGCTCAACTTTGGACTAAAACAGACAAAGTTTCCATCAGTGACAAAGTAGCAGCTATTCAGCAGAAACTAGTAAGGATTTACAACTTATAATATCATACTGCAACTGCAGTTAAAGAAGGGCCAAAATAGAAGAGCGTTGAAATGCTAGGGACCATGTTGAAAATTGGTTTGCCTCCGAAGAACCAAAATAGGACTTTCAGCTTATTGTATTTCCAAACAGATGTACATTTAAGTAGATATTACTATTATCCAAACAAATATATATTTTAAGTAGATATCAGTATTAATCAGAACAAAGTTGACAGAGCAAATTAGCATATCTTATAGAAAATTCAAAATATTTTTTTTAATCTTGTCCAGCAGGATATTCGCAAAGACACAGCATCAGAAAGAACATGAAGTTTCCTGGCTTTTTTGTTCCTAACGTGCACGGAGAACGAAAGAGTAACTAACCTCAATTCTCCTCATCTCTGCTTCTAATCTTGCCTTCTGTTGACTTTCCCATGCCTGAATTTTAATCTCTTCTCGCTTATATCTGCATTATTAACATCCATTGTCAGATTATAATGGCCTTATGCACTGAAAATATAATGATGTCATTCAAAACTAAAGGATAAAAGACAGTGTATTCTAGTTCTTAGAGAATGAGTCATCAATAAACCTTGCAGTGTGCTTAGATTTTTCAGCTTCCATCCATAAAGTAGCGCGCTTTTCAAATTCAATTCTCTCAAGTTCTTCTTGATTTGTGTTCTGAACAGAAGATTTATTCTTCTCTTGCTCATCTTTACTTGCCCATGCAGCGATATTCATCTTACCAAGCTGCATTCCTAGAGCTGCAATCTCTCTTCTTGTCTTGAGCTTAATCTCTTCTTCTGACAACTGTTTCCTGCTTCCAACTGGAACTTGTGAATCCTCATATACTTTGCTCTCAAAAGGTGTAGGAGCGGGTGCATCCCTCCCAGGAGTAGAAGGTATTGAGGAAGTTGGGCTACGCATTGGACTTATGGACCCAACTGGTGTAGCAGTTCGCGAAGGCTCTTGACTGGTCATAGGGGTCATCTCTGTTCCCATGTCTCTCATAGCAACTGATCTAATTCCAGGAATAGCTGCAGCAAATGAACAAGACAATGTTCTTATCTACATACTGATATCCAAATGGCACTTGTTACTGTCACCCAGATGCTTCATCCACTAATTGCAAGACACAGTCTATTAAATATAGATTATGCAACATCTCAGGATATAGCCACATCTACATTCAGTTATTGAGGTGAAGGGCATATGTATATCTGCGAGCGCATGCATACGCAAATACATGTATGCTTGTGTTTGATGTGTTGCGTTGCATGATTGTGCAAAGCTACTTCCTTTCAAGAAGTTCAACAAGGGAGAGGATCAATTGATTGTGGAAGTAGATCAACAAATAAAAATTTAAAAAATGAGATTTGAATATGACACATATGAGTCAGTGCGTGCACAAATCATAGTGGTGTTGTCTAGAATGCTTGAGGTTAAAAAATTATATACTAATGCTTTTCGTACCTTTTTGATCATCCGTACTCGAGCAGGATATAACTAATTCATTTACATCCTTCAAATCTTTGCTCTGGGGAAGGGAGTCTACTGTTGGAACCCTTCCATGAGCTTGGCCTGAAACTGAATGAGCCTCGGATGGAACAAAAGAGAACTTCTCTAACGCAACATGCGAAGTTGTTGGTTGACAGAAATCAACTCCCTTTGTTTCAGTCATTCTGCTGATTGCTAACTTATGATGATCATAATTAGCAGACTCTGGAGCAACCCTTGCCATGCTTGTTGCTGGCATGCGATTTGCTTGGCTTTGCACAACATTCTTTTTTGAGTAGTTCGCTTGTATATTTTGCCTATTCATTATCCATTTCTCAGCATCATTCCACTTAGAGGGGATAGGTCTCAATAGGGATCTCGTTGCAGGATTGCTCACTGATCTCTCTCCTTTATGAAACTCAAAGCTTGATGAGCTAGCATTACTGTCATAATCAAGATTTTCATCTTCAGTTGTCCTCACTGGGTGAATTGCACTAGAATTGCCACTATCATGCTTCAAAAAATGCTGCATCTTCAAACGACCCGTGTTAACATTTTCGCTGGGCATTGTCCCCTTTGGTTCACAAGAAGTCTGAACATTGTCTCTTTGGTCTGGCAATACATCACTGGATGGCTTTGATGAGAGTATCTCTAAGCTGGGAGATGTAACTGAAAGGAAATATGTTTTAATTGGTCATGAAATTCAACACTCTAGAAGCTTTCAGTGAACATTGAGTTTTAATCGCCAACAACTTAAAGGAGAAGAGGGGAAAAAGGAAAACGGCTATCTTAAACTGTTTTAAGTGTTTTAATAAATACCAGATGAATAAGAAACAAAATGAAATACGAAACCCTATTTCTTCCAAAGAACGTGAAGTTCTGATCCCCTAGAACAAAAAGGTGGGAGCAGTTAGGCGCTCTATTACATATTAGAGATATAATGAAACAAAACTAAGTCGTACTAAAGTTGACGAACTCCATCAGAAAGGCTGTCACTTTCGAAATTTGAAAATGTGCTTTAATCAGTACCGATATGAAAAGTCCTATGCTTCTCAATGAGCATGAAGTTTTGATGGTCTAAAACTGAAAAAGGAAAAGGGGGGGAAAGCAGGATGAAAGAGCTAGCATAACCGGGCACCAGCGCTCCAACATCCATAATGGAAGAATAAATGTGAAAATAAAATAGAAATATATCAAGACTGTGGACCTTCATCATGAAGGTTGTCACTTCTTAAAACCCTTGGAAATGTTTTAACAAGTCCTGAAATATAAAATTCAGTTCTTTAAGATGAAAATGAAGTTTTGATCCCCTCAAATCATAATCAAAAGAATATATAAGAAAGAAGAGGAGACATCTAGATTCAGCAGGGAGAAGTGCTCTCAATGTAAGTGTAAGCAAAGTTAAATATATTTGCCATATCTAACCTTCATCATCAAGGCTATCACTTTTTGAGGCCAGTAAGCTGTTCACAAATTCAGCATCCTCAAGCCTTGAAGGTGAAGTTCTAGATGAATTACAGTTGGATCCATCTTTCTTCTTGTGATGGTGAGCCCCCATGAGCTTCATCCTGAGTTTACTGGGAGAAATTATTCCATTCTGGAGGTGTAGAAAGAACAAACGGTGAAATCCATTCTCACTTAAACCCTAAAACACAATTACAAAAATGCAAAAAGTACATATATTTCAACAAAGCTTAAACAAAGAAACCCGGAAATTAACCACTTTCTTCCATCCAAATATACCCTTTTTAACCTCAACAAGAACACTGGGGGTAATTCAAACTTTGCTCTTCTCTTCCCCTTTCTTTTCTTCTTTTGGGTCTCGGCTTTCACCCAAACAAACAATCATGTCAAGTCCAACTGTTTTGGTCATTCTAAAAGGAGAAAAAGGAAAAGCAGAGGTTTTAAAATTAGTCTAAAAAAGTTCTTTTGGAGGGAATTAAAAAGATGAAGCCCGAGAAAACCAAAGAGAATTGGCTGTTTCTGAAGTCCTCAATAACAGAAAACTTCTCAGAAATTCTCAGACCCAAGCAAAAGCCCACCATTTTCCCCCGTAACCCAGGTTTAAAAACAGTATAAAGATTCAATTTTTCACGAACCCACAAGGCACAAGATCAGACAGTCCCATTAAAAAGAAAAGCTCAAAAGAAACAGAGAATGAGGGTCTGGTTTTCATTCCTAGATGCTGCAAGAAAATGCCATACCTGAGTTTTGTCAATCCTTTCGTACTCCATTGGATCTCTATCTCTTTCTCTCGGAAATATGAGATAGTAGAGAAAACAAGAGATGAATCACGGCTTGAGGGTGAAGAACATGACAGAGAGTGGAGCAACGGGGGATGGTTTTATTGTATTGTTATTTGGCGGATGCAGAGAGAGGTGTTTGCGTTGCTCTCTCTGATAAGTAAGGTTCCTCCCTGCAGTACGGGGATGCTCTATCCAACTTTTGATATGGCCGCACTGTGGGGACCTCCGGTGGGCCCCATGACGGGGAGAGGAGAGATCTAAATCCAGGAAGGCAGTGCTTTCTGAATTCTGAGTTGAGTTTCCCTGCAGCTGCAGGATCCCCCCATTGATTTGCCCCAATCATCGTGTGCTGAGAAATTGCCGATTTGACCCTTTTTTTAATTTTTCTTCAGTAAAAAGGAAAACATAAAACCATAACAGGTAAGTCATTTATTATCTCTAGCATGTTTTCTTGGGCGTACTTGAACGGAGCAAACTCAGCTGAAGGAGGTATATTATTTGTACTATAACAGTGATTAAACATCCATGGTAGGTAGGGAGCACTTATAATTTATCACCCAAAAAAATTACTCATTCGTTATAAAATTGACATTTTATCAAAAAAGAAAAAAGATAACTAATTCAGCAAGTTGGTTATCTTTTTTAGTTATTTGTTTTGACAAATATTATTATTTGTCATAGAGTATTAATTATCTATAGTCTTTTGTTATAGAAATATAGTGCTAATATATTTATATGTCATATAAAATTAAGAAAGAAAAATACTACCTTCGGTCTTTAATATAAAACCTCGTTTAATTTTTATTTTGATACTAAATATAATATTTCAATTCACTTTGTCTCTAATATTTATGTATTTTTTTTAAGATAGTCCTTCTAACAATAGTAATTCTAGCCAATAACTTAATTAGTAAGGATATTGTAGGAAAAATAGCACTTATTTATTATAAATAACTAATTTAACTTCTTTCTTTAATCTCCTCAAATTAGTTAACTAGTTCTTATAATTAGGACTAGAGGTAGTATACTAATAATAAATCATAAAAAGACAATGTATTTTAAATTATGCATTAAATACAAGTTTCACCTTTCACGTTATAATTTACGGTGGTCCTTTATTCCTAAGTTATAAAAATGTCCACCTACGAAACCTACTATTTAATGTATTATATATAAATTATATATTTTATATAAAGTTTTTTATATTTGTAATGACAAGTTCTCCAATCACAAGTGCTGATATGTCATGTTATTTAAATATTAGTATTTAATAGTATTTAATTATATATTCACATGAAACTAAAAAAACATATGATCACATGTGATTAGAAAAATTGACATAATAAATATAAGAAACTTCACCTAAATTTCTTTTCCAAATTATAATTATAACAAATAACGCTTTATACTACTATTTCTGATCCTTAACATAAGAGTTAATTAATTAATTTGAGTAAATTAAAAAAATTAGTCATGTTAGTTATTTGTAATAAATAGGTGTTGTCTTTTTAAAAATATTCTTGCTAATCAAGTGTATTGATTAGAACTATCATTATTATAAAGACCATTTTAGAAAAAAGATGAAACAGAATGAATTAAAATATTATATTTAATATCAAAATAAAAATTAAACAAATTTTTATATTAAAAACTGATATATTATATCAACCCTGATTTACCTTTTTGAGACATAACCCGCCAATTTAGTTTTACTTTGTTGTTCTTGGAATTTATGTTATCTACTTTTCCATGCACTAAAAAAATAAATTATAGACTGAGTAGTTTCACCTACTCTTGATTGACCATTGCCCGAGTCGACTATACAATTTTGGGTGAATTTCACATGTCTTGTTTTTATATTATTATCGTATTTATTGAAAAAGGAGTCTATAGTTATTGAGAAACAATAAAGCATGAAATATGTATTTTATTTTTATTTTATTTTTTAATGTTTGTTTCAGCTGAGTTACTTCAAAATATAGTTAGGATAATCAGATTGGATATATGAAAAGTGAACATTATGAAAAGTTGGGATTTCGAACTTTCCAACTCAGTAAATGACAAAAAAAAAGAGTTAATATAATTTATAGCCCATTAAATTTTAATTTTAATCTCTCAAATTTCAAATCATAAATTATGGTTTGTTAAAAGATAAAATGGTTCAGATTTTTATTTAGATATAGGGACCAATATATTTAATAAAAAGAAATTTGAGAAACTAAAATCTATAGTTTAAAATTTGAAAGACCAAAACTAAAATAAAAACAAATTTAAAGGATAAAAATTGTATTAATCCCAAAAAAAATTACGCAACTTATTGTTTTCTAACACACGAGTTTTGGAATTATGGGGTAATTTGGTTTGGTCAACCAAGCTTCTTGAGGATAATTATTTTGATAAAATAATCAGAGAAGTAAAAAAAAAAAATCTTTTGGGGAACGTGAGAATTTTAACTCTGCTCCATGCCTTACATTTATAAAATTTTAATAAATAATTTGAGCAAAAATAAAAGAGTAAAAAATTAACTATAAATTTGGAATATCACTTCTTCAATTTTTTAATCCCCATTCATTAAACTTTCCTCTAATACATTTTCCTACAACCAAACACACCGTTCGTAAGTTTTTTGCTTGCCATCAAATCATATATTCACAGGGAATTTGCTTCGTTTTTTCCCAGTACACTAGAAATTTGCTTCAAACTATTTGTATGGAGAGATTTATAAAATGCATGTTTCCAAATTTAATCCCAATTAATTTTAATTCATTCAAGTAATGGAGGTTAATGAAATGCATGTTTGGGATGGTATTAGGAAGTCTTAAAAATTTGTTGAAACAAAGATAAATTAATCGAATAAAAAATTATATTTAACATAGTTTTGAAGAAAATTTACTAACCATTGAAAAGTTATTTCAAATCTTTTTTTTTTTTTGCCTGCTACTTCTTTTTTGCCGTTTACTGTATCTGAAAGTTTGGAATAAAAATTCGGAAAAATTATGTTTACTTGAACAAATTTACTGAACGCTGAAAATAACTTTTTGATATATCATCTAAATAAATTTATTTCAAACTAATTGTCTTATAAAAATTTCTCCGCTCATAAATCATATTATGCTGATTAATCCAAAAATTGATTTAAATAAAAGCCACTTTTAAGAAGGTTAATCCAAATAAATTCCACAATAAATCAAGTCTAAATTATCATCATGAAAAGCAGCAGCGGTAGTATTTTACTTTATAATTATGAAATACGTGTTTATTAGATTTTAAATATAAGACTTATTTTATAATACTATTTTTAATTCTAATTATACGATCCTATTTATAATATACAAATAAAATCTTATATTTAGGATCAAAAATAATACTACAAAATAAAAAAAAATAAAGCACGCATTATGGCGATAATCTCGGAATGGAGTGGGGTTTGACACAGCTTTTGAATGTGACGAATATTATTCAATGTAAATTGGTCGGCCAATAAGGACAAAATGGGGCTATTCGCACTTGGCCCCCCAGGAATTCACGATTTTCTTTTATTTCTCCAATTTCTTTTTTTTGCGTAAATACTTAAACTTAATTAATTAATTAATTAATATTATTATTATATATGAAAAGACGGAAAAAATGATGTCACTAGTCAAAGATACTCCTGACAAGGTATGGGAGAAAGATACACACCCACCCATGCATTCATTCACCACCTTTTTTTTACAATTTAACCTTTTATTTATAATTATTAGTATAGTTATTTTTATAATTTATAAATTAAATTAAATTGAGTTGGGATGGACGAAAGCGAATGAGAGTGAATACAAAAGTGTCAGATGGTCCAGAATTCTATAATGTGACTTTACCTTTCATTTCCTATTTTTACGCCATCCTTGTAATAAGACAGCATAGAAGCTCGTAAATAACAAGACAAATTTTATCTACCCAATTCTATTTCTAAAAGCATTTCTTTATTTTGTTTGTATATCACGAATATTTATAAAATAAATACTTGAAAAGAACGGATAGGAACATAGTAACATTGTCAGAGGTTTTCTGCCCAGGCTTAAAAAAATAATCAGAGTAATAGTATGTTCAAATACCCTTAATTTAAGATTTAAAAAAAATATTGGCGTTAAATATATTGAAATTTAATTGAATATAAAATATTAGAAAAACTAATTAATACTTTATATATATATATGAATAGGACTCGCTGTAATCTACATTTAATCTTGATATTTAATTTTTCACTTGTCGTAATTTGGGAATATATATAATATTGACATAAGGACCTGTTTAGTTCAAATCATCACTTGGAATAAAAAAAAATTGAAAAAAAAAGAACAGAAATTTTCCAACAGAGTGAGTGTTTGATTCTCATTTTTTATTTTCTTGCGCAGATTTTCCTTCAATAAAAAGTGTCCTAATGCATGGGTGCCCTTAAAAAGGCCTTAATTAGTGGAGGCCATGTATTATAATTGATGTGCCAATTGACTGAAGATATCGTGTAATTAATAATAACAAAACATAACTTATACTCCTCCGGTCCTTAATATAGGACTCAATTATTGAGTTGGTTTTGGTCTTAAATATAAGACCCATTTATTATATTTATCAATTTTCTCTAAATTACCCCTATGGATACTCTTCAACCATAACCAAGTAGAAGAGGGAGATGGGATATTAAGAAAGATGATTATGGTGTTTTGGGAAAAATGTGTCACATTTCTTATAATTAACTAACTTACCTAACTTCCTTAATCTAATCAAATTAGTTAAATGGGTCTTACATTAAGGACCGGAGGAGTAATAACCAACATGGGTTTGGTCTAGCAGAAAAGGTTAATCTCTCACGACGTGACAAATCAAGGATCGAATTCACGCTGAGAGAGATGTTTATATTTAATACCCAACAGTATTTTAAAGAATTATAGGAAGATACCTATACTTTAGGCAAAAAAAAAAACATAGCTTATAATAAATCACCCATCATCTCATCATCATATAAACTAAAAGTCCAAAACGTGGATTAGTGATGAAAAACGTAACGTGTGCAATCATCAAGTAATTTGCTTGATCATTATTT